ACGTCGCTCTCCTTGTAAAGGGACACTAGAGACAGCTCTTGAATTTTTCGCCATGTGCTTTGACGAAAATGAAAATAGCATCCTCTTGTGGTCACGTCTTCTCCGAACACAGCACGTGCAGAGTTCATAGCAAGTCTCTCGAAATCGGCGATGACAAGACCGGGATTTAGTGATGTTCCGGTGGTGGCTTCCGCAGCTGCAACCACGGGGTTTAGTAGTTCCTCCTATGGGGAAAAAAAGAAGCGCGAAAAATGAGGGCCTACAAGGGGGGATATAGAGCCGTTTATTATTTGACTATGCCAACGATGTGTCTCTGTATCCCTTGTGCTTGTTCCACATTTTTTTCGTGCCGTTTTTCATTGGATATAAGTATTGATTAATTGCGCATTGGCCCCTTGACTGCAATTTAGTTAAAAAAGGATTAGCGTTGTGTTTCACGAGTATTTCCCAAACTATTTTCTAAGTCTTTAATATTTATCAAGAGTAGAAAATATAAAAACCTGCAAACATAAAAAAAATAATGCCATGCTGGGACCATTTTGTCCAGGTTGGCAGTTGGGACCATTTTGTCCGGGACCATTTTGACCGGATCCCTTTAAAGGGATACTACAACTAAATTTCGGCGCTCATTTTGGTCTATATGTGTTCAAAGGAGCAGCATGACATCGAACATACCAATATCTTGTTAAAAAAAGTCACGAAAAGGAATTTTAAAACAAATTAAGCGATTAGCAAAGAGCACCTGGTGGATGTCGCTAACGCCTCGTTTGTAATGCCCGTCTAGGAACCTTGACAGCTAGTGACGGAGGTTGTCTCGCCTCCGGCCACGACGAGAGAAAAGGGGAATAATAATAATAATAATAATAATAATAATAATAATAATCTTTATTTGCTCAGGAAAGCCGTGGCACCGCAGAAAGGCAACAGCCCGTACCAAGGAGGCCCGCGGTGCCGCGTCTAGTGAAGGGGATTATGTGATGATGTAAAATACAAGATGGAAGTGCTGATGATTAGGATATGTGTGTTAGGCCTAACAGCATTCTTCGCGGTTGTGGTCTTCGCGGTGCTGCCATTGGCTGCTTACTTCTAGCAGGCCGGTCTCGAGCACCTGGAGTGGGCTCCTCGCGTGTCCGACTTGCTTAGTAGCCGGCCGAATTACCGGCGACGCAGGGAATCCATCACCCCCGCGGGCGGGCTCCAGGGGTTGGCGCCAGTGTTGGCCGAGCGGCGGTCTTTACGAAAGCGGGCCTTGGAGTCTTTCACCTTGCGGTCCAGCTTGTAACTGAGCAGCCTGAGCACCATGTCTATCGAAGACATGGTCTGTGCCACTGGTCCGGTTGGCTTTCGGACGATCGAAAAGACACGTCTTACGCCCAGTTGGCTTCTTCTTCTCGGGAAGGAGGAACTCCCCTCTTCCCGAGAATGCCTCTTGTGTGTCGCAGAAGTCGCTATTGTCCCCCTACAAGATTATAGAAGATTAACCCGTCATTCAAAATTCGTACAAAAGCAGCCGCTTCGGTGGCTGGAACAACTAGGCCATCCTCTCGACGTCAGCCTCGCCGTAGCTTTGCTCGTCCTGAGACAACCTACGTCACGATTGCATTGGATGTCACGTGGTCTCCGCTGGGCCTCCTCCGAGCGCTTGCCAGAGTGGGCCGTTTATAACAAAAAATACAGCCACCAGGCTCAAAATACCAACGTGTGATTGTCGTTTACGGATATTGTGGATCATATTCAACCTATTTTTGAACACGACGGGAATATTTCAGATTTCATTGAAGTATCCCTTTAAAATGAGGCTGAACCTTCCAAACTCCAATCATTTCATACAGACGATTAATCCTGCAACCAAAGTCCTTAAGAAGAGACCATAAAGATGGAAGACCACATCCTGGTGCATCCACTATGTTTGGACCAGTGTGGCATGGACTTTTTCAAGTGTAGCTATTCCACCGGGTCCGCATGAGAGAATCACACCCGGTTTTTCGGTCCGTAGAGATAAACTGCATTCTAGAAAGTTGGTTTTGCTATTTTTAGTGATACCCAGAAGGTTTCTAATCAAGACCATAGCTTTAAATTTACAAATTAAAAAAGTTAATTACTCGAAAGTTATGAATATCCAATAAACCCTTCTGCAAATTTTGTTGCATGTGGTGGCGGCATTTCAAAACTGCACTTAGATGCTGAGGCTGGGCTGGATGGGCTAAAGTCATCGGATCCTGGGAAAGTAGTGCCACTGCCTTCCCTGCTGCTAGCAGGACACAAACTGATAGTAACGATTGGCCGATAAGTCTCTGGTGCCATGGCAATTGCCATTTGGTCTTTTCCAATCTTCGAAGCTTCAAAAAGTGAAAGCCGCTTACAACTCCATGTAACGCCGAATTAGAGCGCAGCTCTTGAGGAGGAGGAGGGAAGGGTAGTGGGGGGGGGGGGGGGGTTCAACTAACCAGGGGGGGTCACGTGGGTCACGTGACCCCCCCCCCCCCCCTAATGCCGAAGATGTCATCACTGACGTCACTGATGACGTCATCAGTGACGATGACGATGCGGATACTGATGACGTCATTAGTGACGTCACTGATGACTTCACCAGTGATGATGACGATGACGATGTGAATGTCGGTGACGTCATCAGTGATGATGACGATGCGGATGCCGGTGACGACATCAGTGACGTCACTGATGACGTCATCAGTGACGATGACGATGCGGATGTCGGTAACGTCATCAGTGATGATGCGGATGCCGGTGACGTCATCAGTGATGATGACGATGACGATGTGGATGCCGGTGACGTCATCAGTGATGATGACGATGACGATGTGGATGCCGGTGACGTCATCAGTGACGATGACGTCATCGGGGGTCACGCGACATCGGCGGGGGTCACGTGACCCCCCTCGAGGTCACGTGACCTCAGGGTAGTCACGTGACTTCGGGGGGGTCACATGACCTTGGGGGGGGGGGGGGGGGTGACGTGCCCCTCACGAGGTCACGTGACCCCGGTGGGGGGATCGCGGGGTGCATTATGGGACATTTCCCATAATGCACCGCGCGGTTACGCCGATGGCGACGCCGACGCCGCTCAAGCCGGAAACGGGCCCCTAAGAGCTGCGCTCTAAAAAGTCTTTCTAAACCAGTTGCACCAAGATCGCTATGGAACTTCACCATACTTAGCATTCCTCGCCAATATAGGTGTCCAATATAGCCTCCCCCCCCCCCCCCAGGTATTTCCAAAAGGGGCAGAGCCCCCACCCCCCCAAATGTTGGGGATTGCCAATGTCAGGGATTGTTAACTAACATACTAAATAGCAAAATAATTACCTAAACTGTACTTTTGGGGAAATAAATATATGGTTCTAACAAAACACTTGCTTAACATCATCAAAAACCTGTAAATCACCCAAATTTAGGACTACCCGAAGCATCAGGGAAGCGGGGGGGTGCCAGGTGTGCTTAAGTGACCCCCTTGTGCAGCAGGCATGCAGTGCCACAAAAAAAGCGAGTGATAATAAAATCATCAGCGTTTTCGCAGCTCTATTTTTTATGCTTGGGAGAAGAGTGTGTTTGTTTAAGTCATGGATGAAGGAAGAATAAAACAATTAAAACAGGGACAACACAACCACATCTTGAAAGATGTGGTTGTGTTGTCCCTGTTTTAATTGTTTTATTCTTTCTTCATCCATGACTATTTTTTATTTATTTTTTTTCATTGCAAAAGTAAACTATGCATCGCCAAACGCTCAGTCTTTGCTCAAATGTAGGGCTAGTTGTTTGAACCGGATGGCAAGATTTTCAGAACAAACAATTACCTTATTAAAAGTTGCATTGTTTTCCGAAACGTCCTATGGGGAAAAGGGCTTTGTTCCTGGTAGCTTGCAACATTCAGCCCCCCATGTACAGGGTGTGCCCGAAAAAAATGTACAAGTTTTTTTTCACCGCAAAAATAAACTATGCGTCGCTGAACGCTCATTCTCCGCCCAAGTTTAGCCCTAGAAATTCGAACCAGATGCCAAAGTTTCAGTGCAAACCGATATTTTATTCAAAAGTTACAACTTATTTCGTGAAAATGTCAATGGGAGAATAGTGGTCGACGGAGCTCTCGAATATGTGGTGCTCTATGGCGCCAGAAACCGAAAACTGGGAAAATGGGCTCCATTTTCTTATTGAAATTTTCAGGAAATCACTTACAACTTTCAAATAAAATGTCGGTTCGTGCCGAAACTTTGGCATCTAGTTCGGCCCTCTATCACTACCCTTCGGGAGAGAATGAGCGTTCGGCCATGCATAGTTTATTTTTGTTGTGAAAAAAAAACCTGTACTGGTGGGTTTTGTTGGCCGCCGTTTTCCCATTGAAAATTTGAGAAAATCGCTTATAACGTTTTGAGTCGGGCAAGCGTCTGGTTCGAACCGCCAGTGGTACATTTGGGTGAAGACAGCATCCGCCAATGAAAAGTTAATTCTTGCAAGCAAAAAAAGGATAAATGTTTCTAAACCCAAGACTGAGGCTACAAAAAGGTGCGTTTGTTCCCTCTTTGTAACCTCCTTCTTGGGTTTAGAAACGTTTAATTCTAACCAGCTTGTCTGCCTTATTAGATTATCTAAAAAAAGGAATTTTTTTTCAATGGACATTTTGTACTTGAGAAAGAAAGGAAAATGTAGGGAGGAGAGAAAGGGGGAGCCTCCCCCCCCACACACTTAGGAAATTGAAAACATTTCTCCTACGCTTAAGACATAGTCACACTGCTTTTGCGTCAGACGCAGTGTCTGCTGCAGACATGACGATCGAAGTGTCTGTGGACGTGTCTCGAGCACGTTCGATGCACATATTCTTCGAACACTTCTGCAGGCAGTTTTTGTAGGACCGTCGTACGAGGAACAAACACGCCTTAGACAGTGTTTGCGGACTGTCTGCGACGGGCCTGCGGCTTAAGGCCCTCGTGTGTCGTCCACATGCCATCCTTTCCCCGCGGCCTGACCTCCGTGTGTGCCGTTCGCAGTTGGCGGGGAGCGAGCCGCCGTACAAGGCCCCGGACCACGAGGCGCACAAAGGCGTTTGGGCGTCCAGCGAGAGCCCGGACTACACGCAGGTGGAGGAGGTCCAGGGCCACTGGCACTTTGTGGAGCGGCTGCTGCCCCTCCGGGTGGTGCCCGAGCCCCCCAAGCACGACGGACCCGCGCCCTCCGGCTGGCGGCCGCCCCTGCGTCAGTACTCTCGGCCTACGCCGTCCCTACGCGACTGAAGACGGAGCGCGGTGGAGCTCCCACTTCCCTCTGTGTTTCATTTGGATTGAAGGGACACGGAATGGGCTTTATCGGCCGAATTTGATGGGAAACCGCCGTGTTGCGGAGTTACGATCCGGCATCAAATTCCAGCCTTACGTTTTACGCAAATTCATGTATAAAGTACAGCGTGTCCCCCCAAAAAGCTTACGGTGTTATTTGCCGCAAAAATTAACTTACAGTATGCATCATTGAAGCGATTTTCTGAAAATTTCAATAAGAAAATGGGGCTTGTCTTTGGCGACTGTCGCCGTTTAGCTCCATGTATTTGAGAGCTCTGTCGGCTGCCATATCCCCATTCAAAAGTTCATAAAATCCCTTATAACTTTTGAATGAGATGGAGGTGGTTAGTTTTGAAATTTCGGCATCTGGTTCAGACCACTAGCACTACATTTGGGTGGGGAATGAGCGTCCGGCAATGCTTAGTTCATTTTGCAATAAAAAAAAAAAATCTTTTGGGACAACCTGTATATAAACGTATAGGACCTATTAGCCTCGGGAAGTCTGCGTGGTGCCCCCTTATGGTGAACCGGGGTGACGTTGCAGCGATGAGAGAATTTTCCTCCGACTTGCCCCGCTTGCCCTCTGGAGGCTTTGACTATGTTAGTGGTCGGCACGCTCGTTTCTATTTAATTTGTTTTGTGCTCGTTTTCTTGTAGGAAGTGTAAATTTTCATATGTGGCTTTATTGAGGTATGGCCTGTAGCTGCAGGCGAAACTTCAACCAACATTTCAGGCATGGTTGTCAGGGCAGGCAACGCATGAATCGCAGCTGGTATATGAAAATAAAGAAATATGGCCCCAATCGCGAGAGTATCAGCATAGATTTACATCTCACACAATCAACGCTACTGATGGTCTCAATGAATTGGCAGGTTATGTATACCATTTCGTGTTTTCTTTTTGTATCTCTGTTCTTAAGCAAATACGCCGAAGCAGAAAAGCTGCATGCTGGTCGAGCAACATGTTAAATAAAGTCTGGGCAACGGAGTGAATCTCAAGTGAGACAGCCCAAGTACAGGGGCAAAATATAGAAAGAAGGAACACAGGCTAGAGCATTAGTTATTTATTTATCTGTTTTTATTTATATCTGTTTACACTTGCACTCGACCTTTGCTGGATATGGATAGCATTTCAATGGACTCCACTGGTAGTATCTGTGGACTTGTTTATAATATCACTTAAGTAGTGTACAACAAACTTAAGCCAAGGTGTCTATCCCGCTATTAGTCCCTTCTCGACAATTTACATTTTACTGGCTCTAAAATTGAAATTTAGATAAATCAAATTGTCCTGAAGCTAAAAAATACCAGAAGCTTTTCTCACGCTAACTGTCATCGTAATAAGGTGGAGAACTGGGCCAGTTGGTTGACGTTATACATGATGGGGAAAACAGCTCAGAAAGCACGGACTAGGAAGAGGAACACACACGACAGGACAATGCTGTAACCCTTCACAGGTTCCACATTTTCTGCTACTAGTGCAGCATCTTCCACCGGACAGCCATTCGAATGCTTGCTTTTCCTTCCAGTTTTCTCTGCTCTCGGAGAGTCTAGCTGTAGGGAGTTTGGAGGCTGAGGAAGCTTTTGGGGAGCTGCAGCAGCGTCTCTTTTACCTGGAAATGACAATTCAAACTAAACGTTGTACTTTCCGAATGCACAAGGCTGGAATACAGAAAGAACGTCAGGAAAAAGTATATGCGTTCCAAATTACGGTGCTCTTGCTGTGCATAGTTTTGGCAGTTCAATACATATCATATAGGCAACTGGGGCCGATTCGGCCGTTTTTCCTGCTACCATACAAACTAATTTCCAGTAATTGTGCATCGTCTAAAAAATAAAACATGCCCGCATACGTGTGCAAACTATATCATTGATTCATGAAGAAGCTATATTTATGTAAAACAACCCTGTTCCATGAGCACTTCAAAGTAGGGGTGTGCGAATACCGAATAGTAGTTATCGAATTAAATACCGAATTGAATTAAGAAAAACAAGCCGAATATCGAATCGAACATCAAATAGTAATTTTACTTGTAGGAATTTTTCATAGAGTGCTGTGAATGAGATTATTATATGTGCAGAGTATGCGCCTGGTGCAGAATATGCATCTCCTACCGCACAAAAGCTTGAATGTATAGAAGTTCTGGTGGAAAAAAGAAAAGCAGCTGCTGATGGACGTTGGGCACTAAAGATCTAATTTTATGGCGTTACATACTCTATCTACCCTAAGCGTCACAAAAAACCCAAAGTTACAGCCATGCGTGCCTTTTTTTCTCGTTAAAAGCACGACCTAACACCGCGACTTGTCCTTTTTTTATGTTTATATATCTCAGAAAAGGGGCATTTTGCGATATTTGGTCTCAATTTTAAGCAAGAAAAAGGGCACCCGGGATTTTATTTTATATAAATAAACGGATAGCTGTTAAATCTGAGTAAACAGGCTCAAACAATCAAATATAAAGTAAGAAAAAAAATAAAACGTGGTTAGGTGGCACAAGTCACCGTCCAACTGCCGTATGCGTCCATTCCTCCGTCCATCTATCCTGTTTAAGAGAGCTTAGATTTAAAAGAGGGAGGAAGCGAAACTGAAACCATGTAGACGGCTCCTGCGCAGATTGGTTGCAAGTGTGCATATGGTTATGTTGTCGCGTGCATAGGCGGTGCGCAGGATTTTTCATTAGGGGGGGGCGAGGTTTCCCCAGAGCGCCCCCGCCCCCGCCCCCCCCCCCCCCCCCCCCCCCCCCCCCCCCCCTTCCCCCCCTTTTCTATCAACGCACTCCCACTGATGTCCTTACGCTCATATTGTAGTGCTGAGACGAGATATGGTTATGAAACGTTTATTTGAACAATATTGAATTGTAACATATACAAAATATTATTAAGCAGTAGGTTTCACTTTCTTGTGAAACGTCCGCAAAGAAAGGCAGTCCCTGCGCAGCTGAGGCGTCAGTGACACAACGCGCATATAAAGAATTTTTATTCTTTCTAAACCAGAAAAGCATACGACACATATGCCATCTTTAACAGCCCAGAATATTTTAAAATATTGCCTCAACGTGACTCTGCTAGTATGGAAAATATAGTATACATGCAGGGCAAACGCATGGGTGCACCTACACATGGCGAAAGCTGTCATATGGCGTCTGCAACGTTCATGCAGAGGACGAAAAACGCCGCCCAATACACAACGTAATAGCAACGCTTAAAAGCGCGAGGATATACCGCAGATTAAAAATACGAGAAACAGCAAGTTACAATCTTTAATAATTATTGAAGATAAACGCTATGACATGCCATTTTTTTTTCTTCTGAGCATTCAAATGTACAGTTGATAATCTTACTTTCTGGCGATTGATAGAAACATGTAATAGAAACAACAAGATAACACGCATGCATTATGTCATGCTCAACAAACATACAAACTAATGGATATGTTATGTGGTGGTAAAAATATTTTTATGACTAGATTACTAAAAATGTGTAGCACGTGGGAGATATAGTACTTTTCACCAATTGTGAAAAGTCTAAAGCAAAATTCTACGCAATTTTGTCGCGAACTGTTCGATGACTGACTGCGTCGCGGCGTCTGTTATGGTTGTTTTTTTTCGTTGCGCGCACTAGGGGGAGGGAACTTTGGCGTCGGTGTTTTATGCCGTCGAAAAAGAATCGGGCCAACTTTGCGCCCCCCCCACCCCCCGCCCGCTAGATGATTAAAGGGGGCGGCCGCCCCCCCTGCCTTCCCTGCCCCCCCTGTGCGCACGCCTATGGTCGCGTGGAAAGAGGGCCAGCAAACGGGAGAGCAATGACGCCTGCCCGATTGACGCTTTCGTCTTTTCGTCACCTTATCGCAGTTCGCAATTCAAACGCGGCTATCGAACGGTTGGAAACCCTCTCAAATCTAGGCACACTATGAGCTGTTTCTCGCATGGCCTGTCTAACATCACGGCGCTAACATCGGGAGAAAAAACGTCTCTTTTGTCAGCTCCGCGCCGACCGTGCGTATTGAATATTCGAGTGACCGAATACTAGGAATTCGATTCGCGAATCGAATTATTCAGGAACTTGCTATTCGATTCGAATTCATATATTCGAGTATTCGCACACCCCTACTTCAAAGGCCTTCAGACCCATGGCCTTTAAAACATCTGCGAACCAGCGCATGCAGAGTGGTATGCGAAGAGTCTGGTTCGCGAGCTATTTTGTCAAACGCCCAAAGTCCTTCGATGTAAATACCATTTGAAATGCCTGCAAAGCGGGGTGTAATATTCACCTAGCTAATTAACATGCAAAAATCTGAATTCCAGCGGTTGAAACACTTATGCCGCCGATTCACCGACCTCTCGCACGATCGACTTGTGCCGTCTGGATTGACAGGGAGGTCCATCGGCAGAATAGCCTCCACCGATAGCTTTCGGGATTTGTAGCCTAATTATAAAGGTAAAAGTGACAAACACTTTTAGAAAGGTATGGAAGCATGTCAGTGACGGCCTAGCCCAACATCTTTTGCAGCAGGAAAACAAAGTCCCGCTCCTCGAAGTGCTTGCGGCACATAACGGCCGACATTGTCGGTGCCTTTACCATCCTTAGTTTAATTGTCCATGTTCTCTTTAACATCGATATATTCGGGTGGTGAAACCTGATACTGGCTTCTTTTCAGGATCTGCATTGCAGCACTAATCAGTAGGTCAGCATGATCGCAAACCAGGAAACGGGGTTAGGGAAGCGTGCCGGATGCGAGATCGCGAAGCGGAGCACTTCCCCTGACGTCACAATAGACCTCACCCAATCAGGGCGCGGCGACCGCAGCGACGCTTGTGTTCGCTTTCGGGGCTAATAGGGACCTCACAATGTCACATGGCATCATGACGTTGGGTGACTCAGTGAGGTTACAGTGTCCCATGACTCCAACAATGCCTAGGAGCAGTTTGAAAACTCACACTTTACAGGGAGGGCCCGTAACCGATGCGATGGGTTAGCTAAGTTGATCTTGAAGCCATACTCTTTCATGAAACATTCAGTTGCATAGAGGTTTTAAAATTCGGTACAACTTCCATTCATTGTAGATTCTGGCAATGTTCTCTCATGCTTGCCGGGCTACGACCTCCATTGCCTTTCTCCGTCGAGCAGAGTTTTCTTCCGGACATTTTGTGATTGTTGCCACGTTTGAATGTTGTCGTGCAAGACATACTCCCCTCCAGTCGATTGCATTCGCTCGCCGATTTCCTTCCCAGTGTTTTGCTCCTTGCACTTGTCGGTATGGCTCGTCTTGCAAAGATGGCTCTGCTCTTCTCTTTCGCAGCTGAGGCGCCGCCGCTGCCTTACTTCGTGAGGCGCTCTCGGAACCACCTCCTCCCCGTGTACGTCCACTCGGAGATCCGAGGTCCCCGGTTCATCACGAGGGTGAGGAACGTCGAGGGCGACTTGTGGGTAAGTGAAGGCAACCTGCTCGGGGGGTCCTCGCCACGTCTGTTGGCTCTTGCGCTTCCGCCGCTTTCTCGTGTTTGGTCTCGACGCGTGGCAAAACAGTGCCACAGAAGCTTTGGCTGCAGCAGGAAGGTGAAGTTATTGCCAAAACAGGGATAGCGGTCATGACAGCAGGGTTGGAAAAGACACTTCATATATGTACTCAATAGGGTACAGTTATTCATTCTAAAATGTATACTTTTTGAAAATTCACCGGGGTTGAAGTACAATTATTTCTAAGGTACTCTTTCCCCGAACAAGTCTTTTTGTCTTTTTTATATTGAATAAGAAAATTTTTTATAACAGTTATTGTCTGTCGTGTTACTAAAGCCCTGTATTCACTGACGGGACAAGAAACACATGGCGTCTCTATCGAATGCCCAGCCTCCAGCATGCGCTCATCGCCTTTTGTCAAGACTTTGCTGCGCATGCTCGCCCAAAGCTCGCTACTACAAGATGCAGAAGTCTTATTGAATGTACCATGAAACTTGCGCTTGAAGTGGGACACTAAAAGAACCTTCCTGCTGTTCGTAGCCTGTCGTTGACTCTAGCAACGTTCTGACTGGAAGGAATTGCAAGGGACTCCAGAAAACCTTCCCTGTGAAAATTTTAAACATTTTGAACTATTGTAAAACCCTTTATTTTTACGGCCCCTATATTTCGCGAATCGGTCACAGAGCACATAATTTTGGCCATTAAATTTTGCAAATTCCAGACTCCTGCATTGAAACCCTTAAGGACGAAAATTTTCGCGGGCCTTTACATACCGCAAATTTTTCAATTCGCTTTCGCGAAAATTAAGGGCCCGCGAACATTACCCAATAAAATACAGTTCGTGTGTTGTTTTATTATAAATTAGTATCTCTACTTGTGAGAATGTTAGGGGTGCACAAATAGGAGTTTGAATCGAATAGCGTTGCATAATTCATAGCTTTTGCAGTGAAAAGGAAAGACACAACGTGCCGGCTGTCCATACAACGTTGAAGCTATTAATGACACTGCGCTATTCGATTGGAACCACTATTCACACACCCCTAACCAAGACACTTCATACAACTATGTTTCATCCCTGATGTCTCGCACCAAAAACAGACATATCAGACCAGAAGTAGCCACACATGTGGCAGTGCACCTGCGAACTGTAGCTAGCAACATAAACTTGCCGTACAACCTCGAACGAACTCGCACCCCCGATCTATCGCCCACCCGATATTTCACGTCGTTCGTCTTTCTGCCACGGGTGACTGTTTGTTCTTCTCAGTGTGTCACCAGGTATAACTTTGTGCCCATCTTCTTGCAGCAGTGAGGGTTTGGGGGTGAGTCTGGCTGAGCGTCCCCTTCCCTGTCGTTATTTCCAGGCCCTGCACAACGACCTGAAGAAGCACTTGGAAGGGCTCTGTGGGAAAGAGGTCTTGTCCCAAGTCCACGAACTGGGCAGTTATGTCGGCTTCAAAGGGTGCCTCGAGGAAGAGGTAAAGGAGTGGCTCTACAGTAAGGGGTTCTAGTCTAGCCGTGCCAAGGTCCGGATGGGACCTGGTTGTGCCGTCTGCTTGGATTGCGGTGCTGCGTTGGCCCCTTCTCTTTTTTTTTTTTTCTTGTATTGTTTGTAGAAGGCTCTTGTACTGTCACCTAGGTCTCTGAGAGAGAAATAAAGCCTAATGGTGATGAAATCAGTGTCGTGACATTCTTTTTTTTTTTATTTCCTTCACTTTTGCTTGCTTGCCTCAGTTTTTTTTTTTAATAGACCTGTATCATTATTCTTTAGGAGGCACAGATGCGATATGCCTACGACACTTGGTTTGGGGTCTTCTCAATTTTGGGGTTTTGTTTTCTTAAAAGAAAGAATGCAGTGCAGAGTTAAATGCTCTTAAAATTTGTTGGGAAACTGCACTTGATACTGCTGGGTATTTTTTCTTAGACTTTCATTTATTTTAAACTGAAGGATCGGATGATAGTATTTAATCAGGAAGCAACAATATACACCAACTCAACTGTCCTACGTCACGCCGCGGTGGTGGCGCGCCGGACGCACTTCCGGTCTGGGGCGGTGGGCAGAAGTCGTCGTGCCAGACATGCATTCCTGTGTTCCTTTGGAAGAAACGAGACAAAAATCCTGCCTTCTCGTCAAAATGCTGCGATGGGGGCTTTACAAAGAGAGTCTGGGAAGGTTTGAAGATCAGTTTTCATGTGTTTTTGCACCCTCCGTTCGTCCGAGAACGTCGATAGCAGCCGTGAAAAGGGCAAACCTGACGCTGTCGAACTACGATTGCGTGTGCGGGCCACAATTTGTGGTCACCAGATGTATTTGCTTTGTTCCAACATGACCGAGAGAAAACCCCCAAGTTGTCTGGACCACCCACGGATTCAGTGCGTCTTCAAATTCACACGGCCGCCTGATCGTTCGAACTTTCGTCTGCTCTTTCAAAGTTGTCTGCTTTTTGTCGTCTGCTCGTTCAAACAAAAGCGGCCCTTAGACCAAACTTTGACCCGGTGATTGCAATAAGAAGTAATTGCAGGCCTCAAAAGACTTAAGTAGGCTCGGTGTAAGCAGTAGATACAAGATGTTGATCATTGGTACCGGTGGCCATCACCTACTTGTTACGCTTTGTCTGTTCCCGCTTCCGATTTTCAGTATCGACGTCGATCATCGCCGCTACCTTCTACACTTTTGCAGCACGAGGGTCGTCGCGACCGAAAATAGCTAGAAGAGTCTCATCATGGTTTTGTACGTCCATTCTGCGGCGGTCATGCAAATACATCGCCGCACGTCAAATTATTTATGCAAAGTTTAGCAGCGTAATGAGCCTTGATGATTTCGCTCAGGCGATTAAAGTGGTAAGACATTGCGATGAGGACGTAGAATCGACAACTCCAACGCGAAAAAGAGTATGCAGACTCACACAGACGCCGACAACGTGACATTCGAATGGTTTGTTGACGCGGGACGCGGTGCTTGCCCGTACTCCATTGCGCGTGCGTTCCAACTGTCGTCTGCTCTTTCAAAACTTGGCTGCTTTTTGTCGTCAGTTCGTTCAAACGACAGCGGCTCGTAAACGTAAGCGGCTCGTTCAAACGACAGCGGCTCGCTCGGACACTTTTGCAGTCCGAGCGACGTCGCGACTGAAAATAGCGAGCAGAATCTCGACGTGGGAGTCAGGCTTTAGCGCCCATTCTGCGGCGTCCACGTGAAATGAATCGCCGCAAGTCACATTATTCACGCAAAGTTTTGCCTCGATAGTTTTGCTGAAGCCGCTCAAGTAGTCAGACATTGTTAGGAGGACGTAGAATCAACAATTCCAACGCGAAAAAGAGCACGGGGACTCCCACCGACGCCGACAACAACGCAATTCAATGGTTTGTTTATGGGCGACGGCGGGCTTCTTGCCCACCATCCACGGCGCATGCGCGGCGCCGGTGACGTCCGCTAGGGGCGCTCCGGTTTGTTTGTAAACATGAGTTGGTGTATATGCTCGATCTTTACCACTAAATTGATAACGATGCTCATATGGCCTTCACGTTTCACATATGAGCATCAATGTCTGTACCATAATTTACATCTACGAGCACCTTATAGTCCGTTGCACATCAAGAAAAGCGGGACGAGCTTTTCCCAGAAAGCTTTCTGCTCTCTGCACTTTAGCAGAGCTAATGCTGGAGAGGAAGAAACCAATAATTGTGGCAGACAGGGTGCTTTGTGGGAGGTTCTTGTCCTGCTCCTGCGACAGACCATAGTATTCCTTTTCTGATTGCTGCATTAATGCCTTGCCCTTGTTCACTGATAAGGCACTTCTTCTGCACAAAGAAGGTGACTTGTGTGGGCTGTCCCACTTTTCAAGCGGGTACTATTCGTTGCTTTTTGCATGGGTGCACCATGGTCACTTCAGATGTATTTGAGGGACGGAGTGTGAGTACTTGCACGGGGCGTGAACGCATATCTCATTTTGCAGCGTAGTAGTGTTGTCCCAACACTACAATGGACTCCATATTCCCCCTAGAATATAAGAATTTTCAGTTGGTGCACTGTTAAAGGGGGTGTGCATGGCAAAGAAAAGATGTGGCTCTTGTGGCATCTTGGTGGTGGTTAGCATGTTTTTTTGGAATGATGGAAGCTGGGAAGTGTGTTCGCACATTTTTAAGTGTATTCACACATTTTTCGCAGTATCGGCTGGTTGCCTTTCACTGTTCCAAAGCTTTTGTGTGGTATATTAAATATTCTGGCCATTACGATAGACAACAGCCAGATAGCCAAGCTGGCTATTATTTTTATAAGTGATTGCGGCCAACTCTAAACTGATGACTTTGGTGTTGGTCCCTTACTCTAAAAGAACACTAAAGACAATTCTAATGGCTTCTATTCAGATGGTTCTCAACTTTGTGGCAGTAGAATTTTGTGACTTTATGTATAAATGCTAGAGCAGCATTTTGTATCCATAAAGAAGTAAGCCGTGAAGCTTATATTACTCTTGTTTGAAGAGGAAAGAAAATAAGAGATTTCAAGAGTTATGCCATAGCAGTATAAGCACTGAAAGCATTTTGGAAAGCTGTTTGACAACGAAGCATGTACGATGGCCTTTGGGATCCTTGCAAAGACTGAACTGATTTAACCCACTTTCAATGAATCTTAAAAATCTATTTCGTATGCTTCAACATTGTAATTTTGGGTGAAAGTATGGTTGAGTGGTGCATTTTTCTGGTGAAAATGTTGAATTAAAGGGGCCATGTAACAACTTTTTGACTGGTTTTTAATTTGCACTGAACCTGAGCGCACTGAACGTAGTAACTTAAGGAAACTTTTCTTTTCTCGAATTTTGCTTTATTTTAGAAGTTATAGGCAAATTAAAATTACAAAAACAAGTAAAAAATAATCTCCTTCATGACGTTGGTCGTGGCTTGAGTGGCCGTGAACTAGAGGAGGGGTATTGAGCTCGGTGAGCGCTCACAGCTGCCGCACTCCGTGTCGAGGGCTCAAAAGGGCGCCATTAAAGCATGTTCTGGATAGGCTGTATGAAGCGGGTGGCCAGGGCAGCTCGCATTGCATTTGCTGCGCGATTAAAGACTAATTTGGCATGACACTTCATTGGCCACAAACGACAGCAAACACGTGGTAAAGATCAGTTCAGAACGGGAGCCACTTCGCGCTGCCATACCGCCAAATGGCCAAATCGCCAGCCAAACAAATGCGTTCCGAGCCTTCGGAACTGATGGGAACTGAGACTAGACGACGACGACAACACACACTCGTCTGGAGCCGAGCGCGCGAGCGGCGGTTCGGCATCCGCCATCATGAAGTAAAGACGTTTACTGTCCTGGCTCTTCAGTTCTTAGTAGAACATATCGCCACACCGGCGATTCGGTAGTACTTTACCACATTGGCGACGAGGAACACGGACACCCACGCTGGAAACGGTCCCCTGATCGGCGGGTCACCACCGGTCATCTCAGCAAGGATGGCGTACAACGTTCCGCCCTTCAACGAGGCTACAGACAGGTGGGACTCTTATTTCATTAGAGTCGAAGCCTACTTCGAGGGGAATAAGATCACGTCGGCGCCTCAGAAGCGTGCGCTTCTAGTCTCTGCGTTAGGAACCAAAGCTATTCGGGTGTTGTCGGCAAGTTGCGCGCCATTACAAGTATCCGAGCTGAGCTACGACGAAACTGTCAAGCACCTTGATAACTACTTCACGCCGAAGCCAAATGAGATAGCGGAGAGCTTCCGTTTCTTCAGCCGCCGACAAGGAGAAAATGAGACAGTTCACGATTTCCTGGTGGAGCTGCGGCGCATCGCGGATAAATGCAACTTTGGGTCGATGCTCGACCGCATGCTACGGGACCGGCTAGTGTGTGGGCTGCGTAAGGAGAAGCTACAGCAGACTCTCTTGGCACGCCGGGACCTGACGCTGGAGTCGGCGGTGGACATGGCAGTTGCTGCAGAAGCAGCGACAAAAGATGCCACACAAATGGTGAAGCCAGAGGGAGAACTCCAGAAGATAACCGCGAGAGGGACCAAGACCTCTCAAACCCGAAGTCGTGGCAGGATCCAAGAGAAGGTGATAGCATCGGAGGCCTGCTACCGTTGCGGGAGAACTTCACACCTCCCTAAGGACTGCGGGTTTCGGAAGAAGACTTGTTTTCGATGTGGGAAGATTGGACATGTTGCCCAGCGTTGCACTTCACGCGAGACTACGTCGCGTGCAGGGGCCAACGCCTTTGCTGGAACAGAATCTGATGACGACTGTGGCATTGACAGCCTTTTTCCACGACCGCAGCGAGAGGACACGTTGAACCTAATTGCGCCGGTCCGACGGTTGTTCACGTGGGGGGGTGTTGACCTACTCATGGAACTGGACACCGGCTCCCCGGTCTGCGTCATTCCAAAAAGGGTATATGAAGAAAACAAAGCAAGGTGGCCTCGGTTGCAAGAAACCACGTTAAGTCTGTCATGCTACCTCGGTAGGGTGCCAATCATCGGGAA